CCGTATGTCGAAGATCTAGAAAATCCGAAGTGAACGTAGAAGTTCATGGAGGTAGGCCTAGGCCCACTGGGGCTGTAGAGCCAAGGAAAAAAAATACAAGACAATACTGAAGCCTATTTGGACTTACGGCGCACCATTATGGGGAACTGCAAGTACATCCAACATAGAAATGTTGCAGAGATTCCAAAATAAAGAACTTCGCGCCATAGTCAATGTACCGTGGTAGGTCCCAGCCAGATCGCTGCCGATCTAGGCATATCCACAGTAGGGGAAGAAACAACAAACATCAGCCACAAATATAAAGACAAGATCACAGCACATCAAAATAAACTGGCATAAATATTATTAAACGACACAGACGAGCCCAGAAGACTGAAAAGGCATAAGCCAACCCATCTAGCGACGCGCCTCACATAAATGTAATACGTACATACATAAGAAAGTCATACCCGAAATAGATTAATAGAGAATGCTCACTGGAGCATTACTCTTCCCGACATGTTCTTCCTTAGTATTTAAGTCTTAGATACATAACTCCATACAATTAATGAGTGACCTAAACACTATTGTAATAAATGAAAACATAAGATTATGTTCATTTGATATAGAGAACAAAAAAAGACTCAAAACGAAGACAGAACACACACACATACCCAGGAAGCCCAACAGTATAACACACGCAGTCGCAGGAGCACGACACTACAAAAGCACAACACACAAGATAGTGAAGGAGTGCTCCAACAAAGGAGAATGGGCGTGACTGACGTAGTGAGGGGCGACGTAGCGATGTGGTATCCTGAACAATTTTAATATTTTAACGTTTGACAATGTATATGATAGATACATATTTTAGTTATTTTAATGTGTGAACATGGCATGCAATGAACTGGTTTGACGTGGACAAGTAAGCACCTGAAGATGGCATTATTATGCCGAAACATGGAGTGCGAGGGAAAGGAGATAAATGAATGTATGCACTGCAAGACGGATTAAATAAATCATGGACTTAGATTAAGTATTTCGTAAGATGTACTTATAGTCCTTAATATGGACTAATTGTACAAATAAATGGAGATACACAAAAAAAGATGTAAAATAACACTCAGCAAAATTCTCGAGGAGTGCCTGCCGTGTGCAAGCAAGTTTCCTTTCGTCGATGCATGTGGACATGTTTTTATACTGTAAGAACTGATTCGAATCTTTGCAGATATCGGCTTACTACCAGTAGGTATCCTAGCGGAGTTACAATGGTTTTCCTCAATCACTACAGAAATTTACCACTGATGTGAACAAATGTCATGCGTACGATTTGACGTTTTCATGACAATAGTCATAATATGTACATCTGTGTTGTGACACGGTGCAGTCTGGTGGGTAGTTACCAATGTTTCTGAGGAACACACTGTTTCCACCGTCTGACCTTGAGAAGGAGGCAGAATGTTCTTCAAGAAATGCTGGTATTCATGAATCAGAGTACAAAGTGTCACAAGTCAAATGGCTAGAAAGCCAAGCAGTGTACCATTGATTATTTTAATCAGGTTGCTTCAGCTCCCAGGGGGAATTCGATCGACTGTTCTAACAGGTTTTTGGATGCTTTCCTCACAGTCATAATGAAAATTCAGGGACTGTAACTTCTTCCTCCCAAATCTTTACTCACTCAGCAATTATGTACACCTTCCCCTGACATTCGATTCTGTATAAATTCTGTAGTTGGAACAGTATTGTGAAATAAGTCATTTGGCAGTGGGGTGGACGTACGTTGTATCAAGTGGTCGCGCTCGAACTTGTGGGCTCACCTTGCCTCTTGGCATTTCCTGAAGCGTAAAAGTGAATATCATTTTTTTTCTTTCAGGTTATACAAGAAGCAGTACCTGGGCCTGATGGTAGCCTGTACCTGGATGTTCGGATTTGGCGCCCTTATTACAACCTGGTTCGGAAAATGGGGGAGATTTGGCCTCGACGCCCGGGTTGGGTCCTGCTCCATCTTGCCGGATTCACACGGCCATTCACCTAAAGAGTTCCTTTTCATTGTCGCTTTTGTAATTCCTTGTCTTGCCATCGTGATCTGCTATGCACGTATCTTTTACATCGTCCGCAAGACAGCACTCAAGTCCCGTCTCACAACACGTAACAATACAGTGACAACGAATCAGTCTGGTAGTTCCGGTATCGCAGGAAGCAGCAACTCTGATGGGAAAATACGTCGTGGTGAAGCTGTTTCTGGCTACGAAGATGTTACTGTTTCTGGAAAAATTATGAAGAAGTGTAACTTCTCTCCAGAAGATTCAGCTTTGGGCTCATCGAGTACCGGCCCAACAATCACCACTGATAAAGGATCGTCTTTTATAGAGAATGGACACACAACTCCTCCACCTTGCAACAACAATAAGTCTTCTTCAGGTCTTAAGATTCAGACCGTTGACAACGTCTTAAGCGATGGTAGCAGACCTGACAGTATCCATCTAGCACCAAGTTCCCGTCTCCTTTCCCCGCCATCCCCAAGTCACCTGAAACTTCCTCTACAGAAAAGGATCCTTGGGGAGCCGTCCTCATCGTCAGGTGTTGAGACAGGCGCTACAGGGAATGACGAGTATGACAATGAAGAAGGTGCCTCTAGCAGTCGGAGTGCAACGCCTACGTCCCTCTGTAGCTCTTCCGTAATGGACCCATGTGGGACCACAACATCCTCTTCAGCACCGCATAATGGTTTCTCCCATCGGTCCAGAAACCTGAATCGTAAGGGACGCCGAAAGGAAAAAGGGACGCCGTCAGTGGCTGTTAATTCAGCCCTTTCTCACGTAGCAAATGTTTTCAGCCGAGGAAATAAAATGAAATGCACTTCAAGTCCTCGTCGCCAAAGTGCTTTTACAGCTTCACCTGGACTAGCGACACCTGGTAAGATGACAGCCAAAGATAAGAAACTTCTGAAGATGATACTTGTAATCTTTGCTTCATTCGTCATCTGTTATCTGCCTATCACAATCAGCAAGACTTTCAAAGACACTATTGACATTCACGAACTGAACATAGCTGGATATGTACTCATCTACTTGACGACATGCATAAACCCCATAATTTATGTTGTTATGAGTTCTGAGTACAGACAAGCCTACAAGAATTTGCTGATGTGTCGGGGGTATATTCAGGAAGCAGCGTATCCACAACAGCCTGGAAATGGCGTAGGAGGAACTGGCCGAAGCGTATCTCAAAGGGCATGACAACGGCTCCACAGGGGCTCGAGAAAACCAAGGGCTCCTTCTTCGGTGGATTTAGTGATGAGAAGGTCCAAATCACCACCGACCACGTCAGGTGAAGAGAAAGACAGCAAAACATGATCAGAGTGTTCGCATATTTTGTGTCATTCCTTGTCAGTCCGCGGATGAACATATAACCCATTCTGTGCAAAAGTGATACAGATGAACGGAACGGAATGTCTATTTTTCCGAAAGTTTACCAAAGACGTTTACTCTTCTAGGAGGAGGGTATAGATTGCCAAGATATTTTTCAAATGTTCTGAAACTACCATTTACATTTAAGCTACGTTACAATGGCTAAAGTCAGGAGACAGGTGTTTCCATCAACAACATAATTTGTCAAAGTAGATGTCTTTCAATGTTTTTATAACAATTTTTTGAGGCCAAAGATTTTCAAAGCCCAAGGGCAAAAAAAATGAAATTCACATTAAGAATTTGAACCAAATGAGGGCATTTTGGTAAGTTTATAGAAGACTGGAGATTTTATTGATATATTTATAAAGAAATGATAAACCAAAGAAAGGCTTGTGATTATTATCCGTATTAGTCTATAATAAAAGTATTTCAAGATTTGAGAAAGATTTTGTTGTTTTCAGAAAAGCCAAAAAGTCATTTTAGTATTAGGTCTAATTAGTCAAACTAGAACAGTGTAGCAATTTCTGTTTTTGCTCAAATGTTGCATCTATACGCTACAGAACTGTTCTGCAGAAAATGTCTAGCTCAAAAGTTGCCATAAGCTATTCCACTTTCAGCACCGAATATGATGTAAGTATCTGTATTCGTGTTGAATTACTCGGCTACAATTTGTGAGCAGTTAATTTGTTTCAGAAGTAACAAATGTCCGTATTTTGTCCACACTTTAACGATATTCTGTAAAATGTAGAAATGGCTCTTGTTTAGATCACTCAGTCGTCTCCCTTTCTCTTCAAAGAAAGGGACCATTTGGAGAAATTAACCACAGTGACCTTTAATTTAATATTTTCTCTTATCGTTCCCCCTTTCTGCATTCTCTTCTCCCTCCTCCACCTTTTCTTTCTTCCCTTTTATGCTTTGAAACCCAAAAGAACATTCTTCAACAAAACGAGCAGAGGGATCGTCATAGTAATTGGAGTGAAATGTTATTTTAAGAAGTAACGAACTTTACGAGGAATAAATTCCCACATGCCAAATTAATCAGGTTTGTAAGGTGTTCGTATTTCTGCCTGTAATCATAGAAACCAATTGTCCACTTTCAACGTAATGCAACAGACTGGATGACGAAATTGTTTCGAATTAACAAGAGCTGCGGCCACATTCTGAGACTGGAGATTTAGTTGGGAAAGAGCTGCATTATTTAGGTAAAGTGATTACGAATTATGGGCTAAAATGGAATAGAAATGGAGAATTAATCTAGTAGAGTGACAGAAATGGATGTCAAATGGTGGATGGAAACGCAAAGAAGCATGAATGTGGCTTTTCCTAGTTATACATGGCCAGTAACAATACCTATTTATGTAATCCATTATGTACGGTATGGAACGTAATGTAACTTAGAAGTTTTTCCTTTTTCTAATAAAGTGCCTAAGGAGCAATATAAACTGAATAACATATCTTTATGGGACACTTCTGAAAATATTGTGTAACTGAACCAAAGAGTTTACCAAGGAAGTTATTTATATGTACATGAGTATAAGCGTGTTATAAAAGACGAACTGGTAAATTTCACGTTCTGTGTATTTACAAGTAAAATACTATGTAAGTTTTTTGAATTGTTTCATTTTGGTCCGTTACACTATTAATCACCAATTGTCAATAGATTNAGTGACCAAAATATATATTGTTGCACTTGACGGAAAATCTATTGACATTTGGTACTATGTACGTATTAACATTTGTCTGGTTAAATCATGGAAAATATTAATTGTGGAGTACTTTTCTTTTTATATTATAATATTGTATAATAAGTAACGCCTTCGTTGGGATAAGAATTTAGTATATAATGTTTACTCATTTTGAATGATGTTTTAGTGTTTATTACTGCGAAACATTAAAATTAAAACGATACTTATATTATATCAGCCAGAATGTGTTAGAATACTCAGAGCTCAGAAACTGGTAATTATTTAGTTTCTGTAAGCCGGCGCCATTAATATTTAAAGTGGTACTGTAATATATATTGTGGTCGCTCCCCCGGTCCCGAATTTTGTCACTTTCAGCCTTTGTTTTTCGTTCGTTTACCGTAGGACTCCCATATGCCTTCGGACTTACTGTCACTAAAATTGACGATCGCTTTCGTCAACGGATTCTGAAGCATCTTCACGTGGACGAAACTACTGACAATTCATGAACATCATGATGATTGCTGCAGCTTAATAAAAACACATAGTTAATATAACTAATTACTGCATATTCTTTGCACAGTGGACGTGCAAGTGAAGCATACAGAATTGTCACGTCTGGCCTTACGTTTCTCCATCTGGTAGGTTTTAATCTGAGAACCACAGAACAAATTTAGATTAAATTTGATATGACTGTTATACCACTTGAGGCTACCTCAGTCATAGTTTCTAATTTCTTACAATCATTAATAACAATATAAGGGAAGAGCGAAATTTTGATGTTGGAGTGACCAGAAATGTGATAATCACGATAAGGAAAAAGTACGTAAGATAAAGCTGACCATGTAACAGGCCCTGAAGGCCCATAAGGTTGTGAGAGATCGAGGCTCCCACATTTCTGGTCACGCTAAACAGAAATAACGTGGTAATGTTGCAAAGTGTAGTAATATGTTTTGGGCGTTATCCACACTATGTAGCTTTGAAGGGAAGGATGATTTAGAATGACGAATTGAAAAGGTTTCCAAAGGAAGTGGTCGTGACTTATTCGAGGTGCTGTACCGGAGCGTAATAATCGTAGAAGCGATAGCAAGTGTGGGAACGACGGTAGCTCTGATGATCATGATGGACACAGTAGCTATGGTGACTAGGGTAGCCCTGGTAATGCTAAGGAATGTTCAAGTTGAAGAGTTGTACGTAGAGCACGCTGCAATTTCGACGGTACGAGTAACACGTGCTTTACACTTCCTACAACCGACAATATATTTAACTGTTAGTACGACGCACATATACTCGTAATTTGCACACTCTGCAATAGGAAAATGAACTAAAAGGGCTTTACAACATATGTACATGTACCTGTATACACGTACAGAGAAACCTTCCTTGGGCACGCGGTAGCGTAGTTGATTGAGGCACTATGCTACAAGCCGGAAGGTCGCGGGTTCAAGTCACTATGAGGTTATTGGATTTCTTTTAATTGACCTAATACTTCTAGCCGCATTATGGCCCTGGGGTCGACTCAGCCTCTAACAGAAATGAGTACCAGGAAATAATTAAATAATTTTCCTGAGGAGTAAAGCGCGACCGGCGCGTAACGCTGATAACCTTACCGTCATTTTTGAGCCGATTGTCTAGATAATGTGGGATCATCAACGTCTCACAACCCTATGGCCCTTCACGGTCTGTTACAGGGATACCTTTACCTTTTTACTTTTACACCTATGGAGTGCAGCTGAATGGTGCGGACACACTTTGGGCTCGATTTCCAGATACAAAAAGAGGACAAATGTCCGTATCAACGCGTGTCCGGAAACATTTAAGTTTGAGTTTTAGCTGAAAGAATACACTTATAAGCTCTCCTAACGTTCTCCGTGAGACTCGATGCAATGTATACATTAATTACAATAAGGTAAAGATAAATTTGTGCCTACGCTTTACTAATTAACCACTACGCGATGAAGGTGTAGGGGGAGTGGATGCATAGATGCATGTTTTTCTTGACCTCTGCACTAATCGGAGTTGAGTGGTCAGCTTCACGTCACGGCCGCTTTATCCCCTGGGAAAGAGCCTCCGGTACCCATTGGATAGGATGTTGGGTGAACCCCAAAGCCGGTCTGGAGACGTGGAGAAGAGAAATTTTTTTAACCTACCTGGACTTGAACTCCGCATCCTCGGTCGTCCAGCCATAGCCGTGGCTATGTAAAAATTTTATTTAAAGTTTTATTTAGTATTGTTAAAATACGTTTAGACAGCATTCTTTACGGTTTGGAACACTCAGAGGTCACGTGTGGGAGTTGTGTGCACTTCGCAACGAAACGCAGTATCTCGCCTGTTTCTCTGTTTAGATTGCAGCCAGTATGTGCCAGCGCGGTTGACGTGAGCCTACCGGTAAGTCTGAAGAATGCAGTCCTCACGAAAACATTAGATAATCCGAAGCATCACATTCGACTGGAGCAATGAGAACCACTCAGTTGAAACCCAGTGCATTTCATCATTGCAGGGAGGAGATTAATTCGCCCCACAAAAATATAATTGAAGTTTGTTAATGTGACCTCGAAGGTCTGTGACGTGTGTAATTAATCGCAGCTACAATCCCAGGAGTTGGTACCTGGAGTAAAAAGACGATTCTCAATTAGAGATAGTAAAATTTCAATCCAAGGATACCTTGCTGCTTCTACTGGATCAGACCCTGAGCTAGCTTAATCCACTTCACATCCTTATCTCTCAATATCTGCCTCTGTCTCTAAAGTGCAATTCCTTAAATATATAGGACAAGGAATCCCAAATGTAAGCCCCGTTGTCGTGTACAGTTTCCTGTAGGAAGAACAAATCTGAAATTTGATAAAGTCTGATTTTAACAATCTGATGAATATACAGAGGGTTGTAACGCCATATAGTTCGGAAAGAACTCAACATTTCGGTGGAATATATTGTCTTCATCTTCAGGATCGAATATTAAGTCAAACAAAAAACAGAAGTGGTCAGTAAATGAGCCATCAGTTGGTCGCATACTTCTGCTAGCTTCTTGCCTGGCTTACTCTTCGACCCTGAAGGTGGAGTCGATATGTTCTTCCGAAACGCCAGGTTATTTCCAAACTACGCGACATTACCACCCGGAAGACCGCAATCTTTATAGACACAGCCGTGAGAACCTAAAATCCAACTCTTCTTCAATAACAGTGTTCATTGCCGTGCATGTGTTTTGTCAGACATCTGCTTAGTTATGACGCGATAACTAACAAAAAATTATTGCTAAGGATTTTGGAACATTTGTTGCGCCTCTGTCTTGTATCCTGGCAGTACGCATTCTGAATCCTGAGAATACACCGTANGTGGTCAGTAAATGAGCCATCAGTTGGTCGCATACTTCTGCTAGCTTCTTGCCTGGCTTACTCTTCGACCCTGAAGGTGGAGTCGATATGTTCTTCCGAAACGCCAGGTTATTTCCAAACTACGCGACATTACCACCCGGAAGACCGCAATCTTTATAGACACAGCCGTGAGAACCTAAAATCCAACTCTTCTTCAATAACAGTGTTCATTGCCGTGCATGTGTTTTGTCAGACATCTGCTTAGTTATGACGCGATAACTAACAAAAAATTATTGCTAAGGATTTTGGAACATTTGTTGCGTGTCTGCCTTGTATCCTGGCAGTACACATTCCGAATCCTGAGAATACACCGTATTTTTACTCACATTTTCTTGGTTTCCTTCAGCAATTGAAAGAAAATATGAGACATTCTGAAATTGACCATGACAGGTTCTCTCCTCACCCCACTCACTAGCCGTACCCTTTCACCGAATTCCTCAGTAAACATTTCCACGACGCACTGGGGACGCCGCTGTGAGGTGGGTGCTATTTCTGTTTCGTGTTCAGGTGCGACACACTTCTGTCCTGGAGACCGGATGTCGCTACTTAAGCATTTGTCGTTTTCTGTAGTACATTCAGATAAAATAGGCCACACCGCTTTCCTCCACGTCATTCTGAATATCTTGTTCATAAGCAGTCTTTTCACGTTATATAACATATGCAGATAAGTACATAAGTGAAATAATAATAATTGAAGTGACACGCGGTGTCGTGATTGGTTGAGGCACTGTGCTACAAGCAGCAGATTCGCGTGTTCGATTCTTTCAGCCGCACTATGGCCCTGAGGTCGACTCAGCCTCTCACAGAAATGAGTACCAGGAATCTTCCCGGCGGTGAAGGGCAGT